AATGATGTTGTGTCGTTTCTGGATAAGATCAATATGCACGCCGCACGGAATGATGACAAGTATGCCTTCTTCCGAGAAGCCGAAGAAACCGAAGACATCAGTGACCACAAGCTGGGAATCGCAAGCGTCGAGCATGACTTACAGGAACACCGCAACGTTGCTGGTGAAAAGCTCGGGAAAAAATCAGTGGAGTATAAGTCCGTTGCGGGCATTGACTACCTGATCGAAGTTGATAATAGCTCACCATTCATTAAAAAAGTACCTGCGTCCTGGGCGAAGATTAGCGGTACTAAAAAGGTGTCGAGGTTTCACACGCCCGAGGTTATTCAGCTCATTCGACAACGAGACCAGCATAAAGAGGCGCTGGCTGCGGCTTGCGATGGAGCCTTTCGTGCCCTTCTTGCTGACATAGCCGCCAAATATCAGGCCTTCCGTGATTGTGTACAAGCATTAGCCACACTGGACTGCTTGATATCCTTAGCTACTATCGCGGGCCAGCCTGGGTATGTGAAGCCTCAATACACGGATAGCACATGCATCAATGTTGAGCAAGGCCGCCATCCTATGGTTGAGCAATTACTGCTGGACAGCTACGTGCCAAATGACATCAATCTGGAGAGTGACAAGACCCGCGCACTTCTAGTCACTGGTCCCAACATGGGCGGTAAGTCTAGCTATGTGCGACAAGTTGCCCTTATCGCCATCATGGGCCAGATTGGCTCCTATGTGCCTGCGCAGTCCGCAAAGCTCGGCATGTTAGACGCTGTGTTCACCCGCATGGGTGCGTTTGATAATATGCTGGCTGGGGAGTCCACCTTCATGGTTGAGCTCTCTGAAACAGCAGATATACTCAAGCAGGCAACGCCCCGCTCGCTCGTCATACTGGATGAACTAGGCCGAGGCACGTCCACCCATGACGGTGTCGCAATCGCCCAAGCGGTTCTGGACTATATGGTTCGTTCTATCAAAAGCCTCACCCTATTCATCACACACTACCAGCACCTCTCATCACTGGTACATTCGTTCCCGGACAATGAACTACGAAACGTGCACATGCACTTCACCGAATCGGGGACCGGTCAGGATGAAGAGATCACATTCCTGTATGAGGTGCGAGAAGGAGTCGCGCATCGCAGTTATGGACTCAACGTGGCGCGATTGGCAAATCTTCCAGGTCCGCTCCTACAGCAAGCGCGTCAGAAGAGTAAAGAGCTCGAGGAGAGAATCCGTCGCCGGAAATTGGCAGGTCTTGTTTCGGCAGTTGGGAAAGCTGTGGGCGATTCTACGAGCGGGGACGATGAGGGATTGATGGATCGACTTATCAGCAGCGCAGAGCAGCTGTAGATGCTAATCGACTCGCAACATTGCTTTTGATGTTCGCGTATCACATTTGATGCAGGAATATATGAAAAACAAAGGCACAACGGCCATTATGTATAGACCTGACAATACTCCAAATTATGTCATTACGGCACCTTATCAAGTCCCCTCCGTCGCAAGCAAATTTACGTGTGCTGCTTTCCGGAGGTTGCACGTCCTTATAGTTACCGGAGCTAGATCTACTGGACAAGCAAGCGTGTAGCAATTCTATGAGATCGCGTCCAAGCCTTTGAACCTTGAATTTGCAGCTTTACCGATGCCTGTAATCGTTTTCGCGCGAGCCCAGAGTGAACAAGGTGAAACGATCAACCCTCGAACAAGCGGGATTCCATGGTATAGCGGAAACCGTAGTATCAAAACTTGATCCATTTTTGCTCCAGATCGTGGGCCGCCTGATATCGTCCCTGGTATCTATCTCAAAGGTCCGGTGGATTTCAAATTTTTTTCCTTTTTGTATTTCAGGTTGATCTCGGTCTCGTTTGTTTCTTCTATGGAACCCTGGTATATCGGAACACAGAATGGTAAGCAAACGCAAATCATCACAACCCGGATGCCGCATCAGCCCATGAGATGTTTTTTATTGCCTTCCCGACCCCCAGAATCATTTCCAACGCAAGCAAGGGTACATAGCCTCGAGAGGGAAGAAGATAAGAAAATTCGGAGAGTTGAGGAGATTTTTAACGGAGACGGCGGGCCTCGCGTTCGGACTCGAGCAGGCAGAGGATGTCGTCGACCTTGACTGTAGATTGCGGGGAAAAAACCCGTGTTAGCCTTTCCCATGTGCGACGTAAAATTATAGTCGGATTGACTCTGGCGAAGACCCGAAATTCTCCTTTCCCGCCGGTCGAGAATATCCCAAAAATTTGTCCCGAGTGATTCTGCGTCGAACGAATTTCCTCCCCAGGTGTCGAATGACTTTCCCGTCTTCGTTGGCTGATTTTCCGATCGCGTTCCTCGTTTTCAATTCCAAGCTCTTTCTTTTTGGGATATCTCTCTTGTCAAAGGGTCGGAGAAAGCGGGTCATGCCGAGCGCAAGCGAATAACGAAAACAGAAGAATTGATCAGACGGAGAATCGCATACCAGGGCCCTTGACGTTACGGATGATGCTGCGGGAGGTATCGTCCATGAATTCGACGCGAACCTGGGTGACACCACCACGGGAACCTATTGTGAAATCGAGAGCAGTCAGCGTTGACCGCACAGCGAGAGAGGCGTTTTTGCGGCAGCGCGACTGCTGCCAGCGAAGCGGTTTATCGTCAACATACCGGTACGGCCGAGGACACGGGTGACCTTGACGAGCTTAGCAGGCTGCTTGGCGGAATCCATCTTGAGGTTGGGCGTGACGGCAGCAAAGGACTGACGGGATGGAGGTGAAGATGGCGAAGGGGGACCGGGTTGATAGAAGTTGAAGCCGCTCGGTGAAAATCGAACGGGATTGCGCGCTTGTGTGGGTTGCATTTCCCCTTTGGGAAAAAGACGAGGGCTCAGGGCTAGTGTTGCCTCGCCCGTCAGGCATGAATAGCTGGCCTGGTACATCAGGCACAAGCAGGAGGGGTACTGTGTGCCTCAGGCAGCAGAACATGCTCGCCCGGCGCTCTCCGTCTGTCTTTTCTGCCGCATTGATGTCCAAGTCGCTGCCCCGTCCCTCTGCTTTTCTCCTCTGCCTTTCCCCTCACCACCACGCCTACTTCACTCTTGTCAGAGTACTATTTTGCCGGATTGTATCCGCTTCATCTAGGGCTTTTTGCTGTCCCCCAATTTGACCAATTCTTTCTCCATCCGGTGTCCTATTCACACTTTACGCCCCGAGTAACTTACCCCGCGCATCACCGATCATCGACCGAAATGGATCTCGTCAACCAGTAAGTGTCAATTGGTCAACCGGCATGGTTCAAGCGTGAAACCCCAGACAACAGAATTACTGTTGGTCACTAGAACTGTCATCATGTTAACCTTTTTCTTCCCAACAGCCTCGAAGGAAGACTACTCTTCGCCGTCCCTAAGAGCAAGTGCCCGCCATGACTCACTCACTCCCCTCCGCCGCAAGAAGCCTCAATACCTTCCATGAGATCCGAGCATTGGCTTGTTGCACCTGTACAAGAAGTTTCAAGCTAATACTGTTCTTGCCTTTACAGAGGGTCGTCTTCAACAAGCTACCTTGGACCTCCTGGCCGGTGCCGACATCCAGTTCCGTCGCGAAACCCGCTTGGACATCGCCTTGGTGAAGAACTTGCCGATTGCGCTCATTTTCCTTCCTGCCGCTGATATTCCGACTTTCGTGGGCGAAGGGCGCGTGGATCTCGGTATCACAGGTCGCGACCAGGTTGCCGAGCACGATGCCCAGCTTCCCAGCGATGAGGTTTCCGGCGTGGAGGAGGTGATGGACCTTGGCTTCGGCGCCTGCAAGTTGCAGGTTCAGGTTCCTGAGAAGGGCAACATCACGGAAGCCCGCCAGCTGGTGGGCCGTAACGTCGTTACCAGCTTCACTGCCCTTACCGAGGCCTTTTTCACCAAGCTCGAGGCTGAGGTTGAAGGCAGCCCGAAGACTAAGATCAAGTATGTCGGTGGCAGTGTTGAGGCTGCCTGCGCTCTGGGTGTGGCCGATGGTATCGTCGATCTGGTTGGTACGTGCAGGCTAGTATCACCTCGCTTGGAGGATGCAATAGCTGATCCGTGTTTCTGTATAGAATCCGGTGAGACCATGAAGGCTGCTGGCCTCAAGGCCATTGACACCGTTGTTGAGACCATCTCTGTGCTGGTCAAGTCCCGGAACACCCAGAATCCTCTGGTTGACCTGATCGCCTCCCGCATTCGTGGTGTTATCAGTATGTCTTTCCCCTTCGTCTTGGTGAATTAACCACTAACGGCTTTCTACCTCACAGCCGCCCAGAAGTACGTTCTGTGCCAGTACAACATCCCCCGCGCGGAATTGTCGACCGCCTCCAGCATCACTCCAGGCAAGCGCGCCCCCACGGTGACTGCCTTGGATCAGGATGGCTGGGTGGCCGTCAGCGCAATGGTTGAGAAGAAGAAGATTGCTACCGTCATGGATGAGCTGATTAAGGTTGGCGCCACGGACATTCTCGTCCTGAACATCGCCAACTCGAGAGCTGCCTAAAATGCTATGTCACTAAGTTCAGGGCAGCGCTTGTTTTCATTCATTCTTGGTTGTGCACGTTCATGATGATCTCCTTTTTGCATTGGGCGTGATATATTTATTTCTTAGTTTTACTTCCTCTTATGTGATTACCCAGCATTTTGTTCAAAATAGAAGGATTGGGTTCAAAATGTGAAGTGGCTGGTTCGGGATAAAGGCTAGACACCTATCGAGTTGTTGATGATTTCATAGGCTTTGATTGAGTAGTTAGATGTTCTATGGCAGTGGCCTCAACCGGGCCAATTTCTTGCAAGCTTCAGAGATATATACCTGCGCATTTAGTCACGTGTCTCCGCGGAGACTATTCCGGGCCCGTCACAATTGTCCAACCTTCATCTGAGTTTCTTCCATTTTCCCCCATCATTGACAGCTGTCTTGGAATTGAAACCTATTCAATAAAGATATAATCCATTGCCCACCTCACTCCCAGAGAGTGGAGAGGCACTTTTTTGTGGTGCCAAGGAATCGTTGCCTGAAATCAAGGGCATACAATCATGTGCCATCCATCCGAGCGGCAAGTAATCAAACCGCAGCGGAGTTCAAGTCCACTTACCAGAGCTTGCGACGCAGTTCTATCATTTCAATTGTCAACTGTGCTGTAAAATCACTTTCATATTGTATTGATGTTTCATACATTTGATCTGAACTTAAAGCACGGGGCTGAAGGAGAAAGTGATCAATCGCCGGGCCGCAATGATCGTGTTCGCAAAGCATGTGAGCTATGTCGACAGATGAAGGTCAAATGCGACGGGACCCATCCCTGCAAGCATTGCTCTCATTCTTTCCACGGTAGGAGCTTCTCAAGCCTCGGGGACTGTCAATAAGCCTAAGGACTCGTTGCAAAGCAACCTATGTATAACATACTAATAACCAAAGAGTGCATCTATCGCGTTACACATCGGAAAAGACACGCCGACCTGGACCACAGAACTTTCGCCAGACCAGGCAAAAAGCCGAGCTTACAGAAGAGCTCGAACCATATCGATGACTCGGATGCAGACGCTTCGCAGCTTGCTGCTTGTCAGTCAGACACGCCGGGAGTCATGCATGAATTCGATAGAGAAGAGGGCCGGCTGGAAGCACGACACCATGGGTCTTCCGGAGAGCGGTCTTTTATAGAACGACTGAAGCTAGAACTCGGAGACTCCCCAGGCATCGACTTTGAAAGCAGATTGCGCGTGAAAGAGCGACTGGCTCCCAGGCTGTTTCTGCTAGGAGTCCCAAATTGCTTATCGAGGACTTCTGCGCCTCTCCCACAGCGCGAGAGGGCACAGATCCTAGTCAACCAGGCTTTGGATGCGCACTTACTCTACAATGCTCTGCATCGTCCCACCTTCACTTCTGTCTTTCAGTTGTTGTACTCTCTCGATAGAGAAGACTACGGAGAGTCAGAGATTAACCACTTTCCCCTCCTCTACTCGCTGATGGCGGTAGGCTGCCTATTCGAGAAACACAACGAACATCACCCCGCGGAGCCATTAGGGGGCTCGCTTGCTGAAGGGTGTGTTGCCTCCCACGGAAACAGATCTACTGACCACATATTGACTACAACAGTTTGAAGTACTTCGAAACCTGCCGCGATATGGTTGACCTCGAATCTTGTGATAATCTTTTTGCCATGCAGGCCATTTTTTTCATGAATATCTTTCTCATCAGCACATGTAGATTATCCCGGTGCTACACGTATGTTTCTCACATGCTTTCTTTGGCTTTTCGCATGGGCCTGCACCGTCCCAGTAAGACAGATAGTCCGGTCGTTGTCGAGACCAAACGATCTCTTTTCTGGGCTATATGGCAACTTTTGGTCACTTTAGCTTCCATGTGCGGCCTCCCAAAGCCTGTACCTGCTGATGAGATAGGGATGGATCATCCCGAGGCTATAGCCGTCAGTGTTCAGCCAGATCAAGAAAGTGTAGGGGCCAAGCAGAGTGTTCAGGTCCCAGAAACGATACCGAGTCATCTGAGTTACCTGAAACTTCATGAGATTCTTCACAGAGTTGTGAAGAGCCTATATCCTCCAAGCACTATGCAGCATCGGGATGCGAGCGAGTTATTGAAGCACTTTGTCACCAAGGATGCCGTTTTCAAATTCGAGGACGAGCTACGGAGATGGGCCAAGCACCTTGCAATTCGTGACATACTAGCAAAACATGAGGACAGTCACTGGTCTCGAAGGTAAGGGGGTTTGGAAGTTCGCAAAGCCATCAACTGTACGAAAACATCACAAGCTACAGGGCGTAGTACGAACTCTGCATGACCTTTGCTCATACTCAAGTCTACCTATACCGACCGTTCATGCACTACCTACTTGAAAGTCACAACAAACAGCAAGAAGGCCGAAATCATGCACTGGCCGGGATTCGTGCAAGCTGTAATATCATCCGTCTCGCGCAGGATATGCACCGCCATGGTCTTCTATTTGGATCGCAGTGGCGAGTGGCACATATGATCTCGACATCTGCACTCACACTTCTGTACGTTCTTCTTATCGATAAGACCTCTAAAATGGTGCGATATCTCGAGGCCGAGCTGGATATAGCCAGGGCCATGCTTATCACTCTTCGACCTTATTGTATCCACTCGCAACGTACGCACATCGCCTTGACGGTATGCTATGTTCTATGAAGCAACTTCTCCATTGAGGCTGATCAATTTGACTAGGTGCTGACGACTGCACTCTCTCAAGGGTCAAAATTGCAAGAGCTGGCGAGTGCAGGTGATCAAGCTAGTCTCGCAGGAGAATCAACCTATCTAGAGACGATTGACTTGGTAGCGAGGACATTTGCCAATCAGTCCAATCGAGAAGAAATATGCCGAGCACACATTGAGAACCCAGCAATCGGCCAAGAGCCTAGGGGTTTGCGGTATCCATGGGAAAAAATTGTACAAACCCAACCGCCTGCAGCCAACGCAGCTCCACAGCAGGGCAGTGGACACTTTGGAATTTCAACCACCCCCGTTTCTGCGCAGTTTTTGCGTGAGGGGGATACTGCGACAATGTGAGGAATCACAGATGTCCCGCAAGAACCCTTCCCGACGCAGCCTGAAACCGTACATCTTGAACCACGTATAGGCACAGTTGAGAGCGCAAATATTATGGAGGCACGACCCTATGTGGACCAGCAAATTTATGAGCAGTTTGACTACTATACGCAGTCGGCCGGCTATGAAGACATTGATTTCGACGGGGACGAGAGCTTCTACCCTTTCAGTCTCTATTTCTCAGGATTATAGTTCGAGAAGATAATGTGCCTCCACTTTTTAGAATTGACGGTGTTTGTTACGAACTTTTATAGATATTATCCAGCGGGACCCGAGGGCGTCAGAGGATAAGGGCAGAAAGACGCTAACCCAAACTTCGGATCTCATGCCCATTACGGAAGTGCCTTCTATTGCCCATGCAAACCAATCATTGCCCTTTCGAGTCATGGATCGATGTTATCTGCATAATAAAAAGAGCCATGGACCCAAACAGACAATTTTAGGATTGATGAAGTGTGGGTGCCGTCTGGCAAGCAATCGTCTTTGTTTCACTGCTTCACTGAAGTGGTGCTAGAGAAGACCCAACATCTCAGCGTTATGAAAGAACAGGAGACTGTGGTGGTGTCTCTGGAAGACAAGCGAGAAAAGCAGGAATCAGGTGCTGAAATGTCCTTAAGTCAAGCCAGAGAGGAGTATCCAGAGACCGACCTGAGCATAGGAGTTGTTGGGTGGGAAAGTCAGGAAGACCCTTCGAATCCGAGGTAGGTGATGGCTACACCTGTTTTGAACAGCGGTGCTGAGTGTATGGTAGGAACTATCCGGCATCTCGAAAGTGGTTTTTGCTTGCTTTGATTAGCATGATCACGCTAGTTAGGTACACCATCACCTTACCGCATACTCCCAGACCTATAACTTACCTATACCCCTCCGATAGCCCGTTCGCATCTTCTGTGTTTGCCTCAGCTGCAGTGTTTGCTGGAGAAGAATTTGGGAATACATCCTCGATTGAACAGACTTTTTCCGTGACGGGCTACCTGTTTGGCTATATTGTACGTGCTCTCGTACTCTCCTAAGCTCATGTGAGAGTGCTTACCAGGGTTGTATAGGCTGGACCTCTTCTGTTTTCTCCGTTGAGCGAGATGTTTGGCCGTACGGTCGTTCTCAACATTGCAACGACCTGTTTTGTTCTGTTCCAAATCGGCTGCGCGCTGGCCCCTTCCATTCGAGCATTGATCGGCTTCCGACTTTTGACGGGCATTGGTGGCTCAGCATGTCTTGCTACAGGCGGCGGAGTCGTATCCGACCTGTTCGTGGCTGAAGAGCGAGGCCTTGCCATGTCGATCTATCAGGCCGGTCCATTGTTCGGACCTGTCCTCGGGCCCATCTGCGGGGGATTCGTTGCCAAAAGAGCCGGATGGCGATGGGTAGGTATTCCGATACATTCGTCTCTCTTGCTTGCATGCGCGCGCCATATCTAAGAGCAGAGTATAGGTCTTCTGGGTCCTCGTCATAGCCGGTGGGACGTTAACCTCCCTTGCCGTGATTTTCAATCGCGAGACAAACCCCACGGTCCTCATCCGCCGCAAGACTGCAAGGCTGCAAAAAGCTCTCGGCCGATCCGATCTGCGGAGCTGTTTCGATGCGCAAGGCGACAAGCTGAAGCTGCCCTTATCCCGCAGGTTGTCCATGCCTCTCCAACTACTATTTCGATCCCCGATCGTCTCGATGATCGCCGTCTACATCGCCGTCGTCTACGGATGCCTTTATCTCCTCTTCACCACCATCACCGATGTCTTCCAGAGTACATACCACTGGAGCCTCGACATCAGCGGGTTAGCCAATCTCGGGATCGGGGTGGGCTTCCTCACAGGCCAGCTCGTCTTCGGTCTGCTGAGCGACCGCACGATCGCGCGGCACAAGCAGCGCAACCACGGCGTCTACGAGCCCGAGATGCGGCTGTCCCTGAGCATCTACTTTGCGATCTGCGTGCCGGTCTCCTTCTTCTGGTACGGCTGGTCCGTGCAAGCGCAGACGCACTGGATCGTGCCGATCATCGGGCTCTTCCCCTTCGGGTTCGGGATCGTGGGCATCTTCGGCACGCTGCAGACGTACATCATCGACTCGTACCCGCGGTATGCCGCCTCCGGGACCGCGGCCGTGACCGTGACGCGCTCGTTGCTGGGGGCCTTGCTGCCCCTGGCCGGGTCGCCCATGTACGCGGCTTTGGGCTATGGGTGGGGGAACTCCTTGCTGGGGTTTGTCACGCTGGCGCTGCTTCCGTTGCCCATCGTTTTCAGTCGCGTTGGCAAGGGTCTCAGGCAGCGTTTCGCTGTGGATGTGTGATCGTGTGGTGTGGGTAGATCCGTCTTGCAGTTATCGGGATAGATGATTATGTGGGCACACGTTTTGGTTGTGGTTGCTAGTAGGGTGGCAGCTGTACCAGTCTATGCTTGAGTAGAGTAGCCTACAATGATAAAGGGAGGATGGATGGGTGTTAGTGAGTGATCGAAAGGCATGTCCTATCATTGCTCTTTGATCCGACTCCACAACCTAAGAATAGCAACTTCACCCAATTCCGACATGAAATCTGTAGCTCGATTTCCTACCAGCGTAATCCTCAGATTTCCCTGTCATCCCCAGTATCTCCCCTCCAAATGAGCGATCCTAGTTTCAATCTAACTCGACCTCTGTACCCTTGATCTAGAGCTTCACAGTCGATCTTGGCACCCACCGAAGATCGATCCATTATACCCGCGATTACGACCAGTCAGCACGTCAGCCGTGGAGCAAGTCATAAGGAACACTCACTCAGCCATGTGCTTACTCGTTCTAGGCCGGAACTCTGACAGCTTGTTCGCGAAAAGGGAAGTATGTTGCTGACCGACTAACCCTGATCTCGGGGGTTCCCCCGATATTGAGGTTAGCGCCACGCTAACCCTAGATTCGGGATCTTCAACAAGCTCCGGGCTAAGTATGAATGCGAGATAGTACGGAAGGTCATGAGTATGAGTGGCCCAGCGACCATTAATATGGTCCTTCTCCACAGACAGTTCAAGCTAGAGGGAACACATACTGACACCAACTTTCTATGCTTGGCGGATGTACAGCAGAGAGGAGATGTTCTTCGATTACTACAGCTCCGCGCCCAGGCGGCCTTGCCTGGAGGATCACAACTTCCTCCCCCCCTCCCCAACAAGAGATCTATAATGTAGTACTGTACTCGGCACTCCAGCCATCCATTTCGAATACTTCCACCCCACGACTAGCCCTCGACACCCCCAACAACCACCAACTACCCTACACCCACAGAACCGCATCAAAAAGGCCTATACCCCTGCCCCTCGACCTCTTCCAAAACCTGCACAGCCCTCCGATACCCCTCCATGCCCCTCAAACCCCTCACATACCCCCGCAGCCGCGGGAACCGGTAGGGATCAATCGCCTTGATCTCCTCAGCAATCACCAACGGATAACTCATGAGGATATCTGCCGGGGTGAACCGCGCACCGGTCAGGTAGGCAGGGGCAGCAGCAGCCGCCCCCGCCCCCTCCCCCGCGATCCTCTCCAACTGCGCCTCCAAGAACCCAAAATGCGTCTCCAGATTCGGCCGCGTATACTCCCTGTTCACAATGGCCGGCACGATCCCGAGCACGGGTTTGATGAAGAACGGCGCGGGGGCGGTTTTGACCACTACACACCCATACCAGCCACCAAATTGTCAGCGGATCGAGACTCCTTGCCTGAAGAAGCAAAAGGGGGGGGGGGGTGCAAAAACAAACCATCCATCAAAACCCGCACCACAACCAACGGCATCAAACTCCCCTCCGCGTAATGCATCAGATACCGGTACCGCAGCCACGCCGCCGTCTCCCCGCCGGGCTGGTTCTCGCGGCCGGCGGTCCAGCGCGGCGGGAGGGTCAGCGTTGGGGGAGGGTGCGGATCCGCACCCGGAGCCGGCGGGGGGAGGAAATGATCCACCAGATACTCGATGATGGCGGCGGATTCGGCGAGGATTAGCGGGGGTGGTTGTTGTTGTTGTTGTTGGTGGTGGTGGTGGTGGGCTGTCGCGGGCGGCGGCGCGATGGTGAGCACGGGGCTTTTGCCGAGCGGGTGCAGGTGCTTCAGGGCGGCCGGGGCGCGCTGCGTGGCGTCGCGTTTGTACGGTTGGATCTCGTAGGTGAGGCGCAGTTCTTCGAGGAGCCAGAGGATGCGTTGGGACCGGGAGCGTTCGAGGCTTTGAGTCCCCCGGGGGGCCCGGGGTTAGGGGTTGGGGAGGGTTGTGGAGAGAGGAACTGCAGGGAACTCACGAGTGGAGGATGATTGTGGCGCCGCGGTTGGCGGACATTTTGTTTGAGAGGATACGGGGGGTGTGGGTGGATGATTTGAATTCCAATGAATTGGAGAAACTTGGAGGGAGGAGGAGGAAGAGGGGAAAGGGATTGGATCGTAGGCACTCCGTACTTTATAGTGTTTTCACGAGTAGGCTGGACTTTCTGCAGTGCTGTCATCAGCTCGCCTTGGGCTAGACTTTCTACAGGAGTGTACATCCCGAGTCGTACCATTGCGCGGCCGGATCGGGCTCGGTAAGCGCTAACCACGTGGCTGGCGTCATTATCCTCGGCCTTGAACGTCCTTGCTGATCTTGAACTTTCCAAGTATTTGCTGCTAATGAATCGATTGGCGAGCATAGAGACTGAGGAACTGATAGTGCAGTGTATACAGTATATGGCTCAAGTGTAAATGTAAATATGTATGTACAGTACATAAAAATAGCATAGCACAGAGAGGAGATTCAGGCCAATATGCACAGGTCAAGCCGCGGACAGGTCCAACCATCCATCCGCTTAGATCACTTTTCATTATGTCATCCATCATAGTCATAAACAATAAATAGTAAGAGGGTATCGAGTCTAAGGTGCTCCCAGTAAGCAATATGTGCGTCTAATGAAGGGGCGAGGGGTATAGGCAAAAGACAACAATCAAGACGAAGAACCAGGGGACTGCCCCAGTCCCACTCCTTCTCGGCGACCCCGGATCAACGCCTGCAGGCATTGGCCCACACCTTCCAGATCTCCCAAGAGACCGACATGGCCTCGTTCGCTTTTGACCAACCCCCCCTTGATCACACGGTATCCGGAGGGTAGCATGGCCGCCGACGCCAGACACACTCCGTCTCCCGCGGCAAAGGCCAGGTCGTCGTACGCGTCTTGCCGTTTGATGGCCTCCCGCGAGGCGACTCGCGCGCCGTATAGCGTGGGCACGGACTTCCCGTACAGCACGGCGAACGGCGGATACCGATTGTTCGCTTGATGCGCGGCATCGAAGACCAACTCTTCCTTGAAGCGTCGCACCTCGGCAAGAGTGCGCTCGAGGTAGGTAATAGCGGTGGCCCGCGGGATGGTCACGGCGGTGGTGACCTTGGTGTTGCTCGAACCGCGTAGGTTAGAGTTGGGGCCAATAGCCCCTTCGACGGCGGGAGGCGCCACAGGGGCGGGTTTCATCGCCGCTGCGGTCGGTGGGTTGGCACTCTGGTTCGGTGCTGGCTTATAAGAGTTGGATGCCTCGCCGCCATCAGATGAGGAAGCCGATCCACTGCTCGGAAGGCTTTCTTTGCTGTTTAGGACGGTTGAGAGACGTTTGCTGATAAGAGGAAGGTTGTCTTTCACGAAGCCCCGGCTGGGGCTACTCACCGGCAGGGCCGGGTTGATGCACGGTGATAGTCGATACTCATCCCAGGTTTGCGCGTCGAAGAAGTCGACCCGATATTCTTCTTTGGTGCGCTGGTCGATGAAGCAGTGCCCGTCCTCGGGCAGCAAGGCAAAACTGGTGCGGAAGGTGAAGTTGACCTGAGCCGTCAAGACACGCGAACTCAGCAGCACATCGTCGCCGTTGCGCAGCGGCCCGAGGATGTTGACGCAGTGCTGCGGTACTCCAGCGTATAAAACTCCAGCGAACAATTCGGGCCGCTGGTTGACGGCATGTCTCGTGATCAGCCCTCCCAGGCTGTGAGCGATCACGTATGCCCCGCGCTTTTCACGGGGCGTGCCCGGGGCATTGCTTGGAAGGCCCTCCAGAAACTTGATCAGCCGTTTAGCCAGGAGGTGCGGACTCAGACGCCAGTCGTAGCCGTAATCCCAGACGCGCAGATCCCCGCGCGTCGAGTTGGGACACTTCTGCAGCCGCTTCATCAGGCGGCGACAGATGTCCACGGGCCCGACATGCGACAAGACTCCGGACGGTATGATGGTCTCCTCCATCCGTTCCTCGTCTTCCGGGTTCAGACCCACCTCGAGGTCGACTTTGCGCAGGTTCAAGCCGACCTTCATCGGTACCCACAATTGGCGCTGCGGAGGTTTGGCAGAACGCAGAACTGAGCCTCGATAGCCTCCTAGAATGACGACGTCGCCCGTCAGATCATCCATAGCGTCAGCTAGGCGAGGGTGCTGGGCACTGGAGCTAGATCGCGGGGAACGGGTGCGTGGTGGTGGTGGCAGCGACGAGGGTCCCGTCGGGTCAGCTGGCGGTTGTTCATGCGGCGCAACAGGCTCCTCCTCGTGGACCTTTCGGGGATGGGAGACCTCGGAGAGGAAAGGCCGATAGCCCCAGTCGCTGCGGAGATCTTGCAGGTGCAAGGTGGGCATGCTTAAAAGTCGACTGCTGGAGTCCTGCAGACTGTCCTTGATGGCCTTGAAGCGGCTATTTACCTGGGAATGAATATGCTCATAACGAGGGCGCTGTTCCAGCGAGGAGGCTGTGGAGGAGCGTCGCAGATAGAGCGACTGATCAGAGGATGAGCGCCGCAACATCGGCGGCGCTTTGCCCGAGACGGCAGCACTCGGCCGCCGTGCATACGAATGGCGGGCGGCGGTGGCCCCCGCCAAAGGCTTGAGATCGGAGATGGGCTCGTCCGTGGACTCGTCGGTCAAAGATCGTCTCTGCGCCGGCCCGGGAGCAGGCTTGACGTTGCGTGGCGCTGGCTGGCTGGCGATGCGTTTCGTCCACGAGTCCGGTAGGAACTTCTTCAGACGAAGGTTGGTGATGGAGTCGCCGGACCAGGCCCGAGGGCGCAGCGGCAGACTGGTCTTGAGGAGAGAGCGCGTAAAGCTGCTCCGATGGTCTTTCAGCTTCTCCTTGGCACCTCGCGAGGGATGCGGTTGCGCAGGATGCGGTTGCGAGGATTGCATTTGTTCGGGTTCTTGGGTGAGATGGCTAGCAAAGAGACCACTGTCGGATTCGGGAGAGTCGGGAATGGCATCAAAGTATCCGCCCTGCTGGTCCATCACGCGGGATTTCTCGGCAGCTGGCGTGCGACGGGCCTTCATGCGACTCTGAGTTCGACTAATACTGACCCCAACCATATCGTATGCTTCATCCTCCCGGGTGGGATCGCGAAGAGACGGGTCTTCGCTATCGGAGCTGGTATGACCACCAGCCGGTTGCATGTGCACCGCCATGGTGAGTGATGTTGGATGCTATGAGGTTGTTGAAGGAGAGAATCTACCCATTGAGGGGCGGGCACCAATAGATAAGAAGGGAATTGGAGAAGCAACGACGCAATAGCTTGCACGGATTCAGGCAAGTCAACAGAGGCTCCATGTGAAAGTGGATGATGATGGGAGGGGCGAGGAGGAAAAGGTGAAGCTAAAGTAGAACTACGGAGCCGTCGGAGGTGGAGCCATCGCTAGTTTATTGATTAACGATAGAGGGATAGAATCAATAAGAAGCAGCAAGGAGAGGAACGGAGGAGTAACTGAGATCGGAAGATAGGGGGGTAAATCTGAATTGGAGGAGAAAATAACCTAGCAGTTCGGAAGATGATGTAAAAGCGAAGAGAGAGAAAAAAAAAAAGGAAAAAAAAGAGCAAAAGAAGAACGAATACGAGTAGCTGGAGAGAAAAAAAAATGGCGAAAACGAGAACGAGAGAGAGAGAAGAGCAAGAAAGAAAACGGTTCCACCGGCACAGCCCCGGGAGGGCCGGAAGGCTGAGAAACCACTCAGTCGACAGTGGATCAGGGCGAAGCTTTCCTTCCCCCGTCATCTGAAAGATCGTTTGGTAAGCCATCTTAAGTTGGACATCTTAGAGCAGATGTTATGTATTAATAGCAATGGTAAGCTGGTAAACTGGCGAAGGATTCAACTCAGCCGAGTTTCATGCTGTATAAGGAAAAGCTGACTCTGGCGATGACCCAGTCCGTAACATTAGCTACAAGCTACCTCGTGCGCCAAGGAAACACGAACACTCTGCTTCATCATACATACTCCGTACACAGTGCACATAACATATACAGTTATACATACTTAGTACTGTACAAAGAAAGTACTGTACTCCGTACATCGTTACTCATTACACCATCACAATCGAAAATCGACAATCGTTGGCTACAAACAGGCAGCCATCTGGCTGGATCCACTCTGTCGACTAATCAAAGAGAACAATCAAGCAACAAGCATCAGTCGTATCATCGTAATCGCATAAGAAAAATCCCGAACTAGAAGTCCCGAGCTAGAGCTGAGGCCAATTTTGTTTCAGTGCGAACGCCCAAATCGCCCGGTTTCAATTTCTCGCTCGCCCTTGTCCGCAATGGCTGCGTTCTTGGCCGCACCCTGATCATGGCCAAAGGCTGAGTCGACAGCTGCGTTTAGTCCACCGCGGAGCGATTCTCCGGCCCCCTGTTAATGGCCCGTCAGCTTCTGCAAAGGTGCAAGGCTGCAACCAGTGATTATTGAGATTAGTGACTTACGTGGATCCCCGCCGCTACCGACTTAACCCCGCGCCCGACATTCTCGCCCGTGCGCGCCGACTGACCGCCAGCTGTGGTTGTGCCAGCGGTGCCAGCAGTGCCGGTAGTCCCAGTAGTAGGAACATTGTTGGTGGTGTCAGCGGGGGCGGTAGCGGTAGTACTAGGATTAGCACCGCCGGCCGCCCGCGTGCCCTGGCTAGAGGACGGCACCGTAGGCTGATAGCCTACTCCGCCCGCGGTGCCGGTGCCTGTCGTATCGGTCGGTTCGCGCATCGCACCCGAGCCCGACTGGTTTGTGGATTTGGTGGACTTCTCCCCCGTGCGGCTGTCCACGCGAGGGTCCAGCTTATTCAGCAGCGAGGAGCTGTGCGGGCCCCGCGTCGAGGTGCCCGAAGTCGAGGTGGTTGCGGTCCCCGCGGTGGCCTGCGGGTGCACGTTGCCCGTGGTGGTCGTGCCGGGGGCGTACTGGGCGCGGTTGTTCAGGTCACTGTCGACTCGCGGATCGGCCTTGTTGGCCATGTCGGAGCCATGCGGGCCAGCAGTGGTCGGGGCCGGGCCGGTCCTGGCATCGCCTGTGCTGGTGATACCAGCTTGGGTAGCAGTGCCGGTGGCCGCGGCGTTGGTGTCGAAGTATGGGGTCTGCGAAGTAGTATTCATCGTGATGGTAGGTAAAAGGTGATGGGTGATTCGGATTCAAGCTTTGTTGGTCCACTCCACCTGTCACTTTCTGGGTGTTATATAGCCATCATCGAAGGCAAAATGAGCGACATCGACATCATCGCGCGAGCCGGTGACGTCAATTTGATCATAAAGTGTCGTCCCCTGGGGACAAGCTCTCTAAACCGTGGGGTGGGAGGGATGTGACCAGTCAGACAAAGGCCCTGTGCCGTGGATTGGTGGATCGACAGTCCCTTCTTCAGATGAGCGACACAATGACCTAAGGTAGGCTTGCAGTGCTGCATTTCAAGAGTGCTTAACATACAAGTCTGGAAGTACTCGTGAATACTTGGAGCAGCCGATCAGGTGATCTATCTTATCGATTAGAGAGGGAGGAAGGATGATGTCATGGACGGGCATAGCAAGAAGATAAGTTATGCCCGCTTGTGCTGACTTAGTCATATTTATCTACTTATGCACCACTTTTCTTCACGACTGCAATTCCACTCTCTATACAAACTAAGGCTGCTGTCTCCTCTTCGTATTAAGATACTATCCTTCTCTATTAAGGGTCCGAATTCTCGTTTTTCCAATTCTCAGCACTAATCCCCAGATGTCACACCCCACCTCGGCTGTGCGACCCTCTGGGTCGGACATCTTACCTCAAAGAGCTTCTTCTCCATGAGCCGAGGTTCAATCCATTCCAATCCATAATCTGAGCCGACAACCCCCTTCGACCATTCTCCTCGCCATCTCCGTTCCCTTTCCATCAAGACCAACTCCGAAATACCCACAGTCCCATCCTCATCCAAGAACAAACCACCCACCCATAATGCCTCTCACCAACCGCCAACTGATCTACACCAACCCGCCGAAAGCGGCCATCGACCCCTCGCTCAACGGCACCGGCACCTTCACCCTGAAGACCACGACCCTCCCCGACGATGTGCCGCTGAAGGACAATCAAGTGCTCGTGCGCATCCACTACCTGGCCCTGGAGCCGGCGATGCGGCAATGGCTGACGGCGAAACGGTCGTACATCGCGCCCGTGGAAGTCGGCAGCGTGATGCGCGGGCAGAGCATCGCCCAAATCCTGCGGGTCGGCCCGGCGCTGGCGAGCACCTACAAGGCCGGGGAGTGGGTGGCGGCGCACTCCGGGTGGCAGGAGTACGCGATCCTGCCCGCGAAGGCGATCGAGAAGATCACCATCCCGGCCGGGTGCCAGCCCACGGACGCGCTGTCCGTGCTGGGCATGACGGGGCTGACGGCGTACTTCGGCATGACCGAGGTCGGCCAGCCGCGACGCGGCGATACGGTCGTCGTGTCCGGCGCGGCCGGCGCCACGGGCATGGTGGCCGGCCAGATCGCGCGCATCAAGGGCGCGAAGCGCGTGATCGGCATCGCCGGCAGCGCGGACAAGTGTCGGTTCCTGCGCGAGGAGCTGGGGTTCGATGCTGCCATCAACTACCGGGATGCGGACTGGCGCAAGCAGCTCAAGGAGGCGACTCCGGACTATATTGATGTGTATTACGACAATGTGGGTGGTGAGATCTTGGATGCGTGTCTGTTCCGCGCGGCGAAGGGCGCGCGCTTTGTCATTTGCGGCGCCATTAGCCAGTATAATGTCGAGAAGCCCCAGGGGCCGAAGAATTATCTGATGGTCATTGTGAGTATCCTAGCGAGCGGTGCGGTGGAATGGATGATGGCTGCTAACGAACCATAGTCGCAACGGATCACTATGCGCGGGTTCATTGTGTTTGACTACGCCGACAAGTACGCGGCTGCGCTGAGGGAGCTGGGCACGTGGTTGAGTCAGGGGAAGATCAAGCGGAAGGAGCACATCGTGAAGGGGGGGCTGGAGACCACGCCCCAGGAGTTGATCAATCTATTCAATGGTGTAAATACGGGTAAGATGATGGTGGAGGTGGTGCCTGAGAGCGAGGCGATCAAGGTGGAAAAGGCTAAGTTGTAGGCTGAGGAGTTACATCACGGTAACTACAAGCAAGCGTACTCAAGAAATCAGAGATGATATGATACCATTAGGGACCAGCTTGGGGTCAACCCCAGCGCCACGATCCATTATCGACATAAGACATTCTCGTAAGAAGACATTAATCATTTCCACACACTCAGCCACAATTAGACAGTACCCGCAGCCAAAACATAGCCTCCATCAACAACCAACGTCTGACCATTCAGATACTGGTTGGTGGCGGCAAACAACACGGCACTGGCCATATCCTCATCCTTCCCGGGGCGTCCCGCGGGGACCTTACCCTCATACTTCTGCTTCTCCAGGGCACTCTTCTGCTTCTCATCACTCTTCCCGGCAGTCATCTCACTGGGGAACACGCCGGGGGCGATGTTATTCACCCGGATGCGCAGCCCGGAGCTCGAGATCTCATGGGCCAGCATCTTGGTGAGATGGATGGCCGCACCTTTCGAAGCATTGTATGCGAAGTGATGCTGGCTGGTCTTGACGATGCCGGAGATGCTGGTGATGTTGATGACGGTGCTGCTCCAGCCGTGGGCCTGCTCGCTGCTCTTCTGCAGGAGGGGCAGGAAGGCCGAGGTGACCAGGTAGGGGTGCACGACGTTGGTGCGGTAGACGCTCTCCCACTCCTCGGGCGAGGAGCTCTCGTCGAACAGCGCCTTGCTCAGGTCCGCCGCGTTGTCGTGCTCCGTGTTCTGCGTGCTGCTGCTGATCCCCGCGTTGTTGATCAGGATGTCCAGCCGGCCGGACTCCCGCGACGAGATCTCCTGCACCAGCTTCTGGATGCTGGCCTTGTCCGTCACGTCCGCCGTCAGCGGGATGATCTCCCCCTTCACGGCCTTGCCGCCGTACAGCTCCGCCACCCGCTCCAGCTTCTCCGACGTCCGCCCTGTGATGTACACTTTGCTGCCGTTGGTGGCCAGCGCCTGCGTGGCCATCAGGCCGATGCCGCTGCCGCCACCGGTGATGAGGGCCACTGTTTGTGGGTCGTGTTAGTACGAGGTGTATCGCAAAGGAGGAAGGGCAGTGGGTGTGAAGGTATGGAGCGAGAGCTCGGAAATGCTTTCGTTATACTTGGGGTCACAGGCCTCGAGGTTGAAACGTACCCTTGTCCTTGACATTGAACAGGCTCTCCAAAGTAAAGTTGGTGTTGCTGACTTCCGCTGCCATTGTGGTTTTGGATTTCTTGAATTGAGGTGTGGTCACTGTAAATGGGGTAGGTCGTGAGGTTGCGAATGCTCTGGGTGATGCAGTCGCACTGGCGGGGAGAGAAAGACGACTATATAGCTTGCTTGGGCGATGGCGTAATGACGCACCGAGAGAGCGTGGCAACAGAATACTGCGATTGAACATGATGGTAATACATGGAAGAATCGTCTGGCTGGCGTGATTGAGTGGGTTTAATGTAGGGATTGTTGGGGCATCATCATCAGTATGACGTTTTCGGCGCCGGCGCGGATGAAGTCATGGTGATGGTAAAGGTGAAAAGTAGTATACGATCGGATCACTAACCATCGGTCCCTGTTGATCTCACCTTACCTTACTGCTAAGTATATTCAGGAACGGCCCCTTATCTGTATCATGTACAGCTACCCAGCTAGTGAACTGGCCAGGTCACAAGAAAAAAAAATAGCCCAACAGAAACAACAGTTCCTATGTGTTCACAGCGAGTTTGATTTACTACCCACTGAACTGAAGACAGACCAGCCCATCCTATTAACAGTTGCAGCCAATATCGTATCCACTGCAGCAGAATTATGTTCAAGAATAAGAAATTGAGAAACGAATGGAAGTAATCACCGAACCTTCCCTGCTTCTCTCACCTCGCTCATAAATCCATCCTCGTCGCCTGCCGAGGAGAGTCGCCAGTAGTCACCAACCCCGGAAGATGCTAGACCTCCACCACCAAATCCTGCCGGCATAGGAGCTGCCGGTGCACTGTGGCGTTGCTCTGTGCTACTGTTGGTCCCCGCCTGACGCGGTCCCCAGCTCAGGATCCCCTGCACCGACTGTCGACTCTGGTCATCCGGTTTGGTGAAGCCAAACAGCTGCAGCTGCAAGCTGCCCAGAGTCGCAACCGCCGCGCGAATCATGATCCGATCTCCTTCGAATACCCAGCAGTCCCAGACTCGGCTGAGACGCTCCAAGTCCAGCCCGTTTGTCAGGAGGGAGCGGAACATCGGTTCCCAGATTTCCTCATCGCTGAGACGGAGAGTCTCGTAGAGGTGCGTTGAAAGACGTGGGAACTTGTATTTAAGCGTCGCGGACGCTAGCGAATATGTCCGACCGATAGCCCCGCGGTCGAGTGTCAAAAAGGCAACAGGAAGAGGGCGGTTTAGCGCATTGGCCATAGCGAGGAACGCGGAGGACGGAGACGGGAACTGGAGGACCAGTAGGGCCGCAATGGTATGCAGTCCAGTGATGTATCCAACATCGCTCCGATACATCGAGTAGGCCTCCAAGACGTCGATCAACGTCTCGCGAAGTGGACCACCAGGTTGAAATAGCTTCAGATCCGGGAAAGCCTTAGACACGTCCTGCTCGATAGTCGCGAACCACTCCCGCATTCGCTTGTTGCTTTCCCCAGTATCACTGTCCGGACGGGCACGCACGTCCTTGGCCCGTTGCAACGCCTTCTTGTACGTTTCGTCGGAGAGAGCCAGCTCATTGCCGATGGCCCGCTGCCAGGTCGATCCCCGAAGTCGCGGCGGCACACCGCGCCACCAGAGCTCCCGCGTGCGCGGCTCCTGAATGACGTTATCCCAGTTTGGATAGACGTACTCGTCCCAGATTTGTTGGAGGGTTTCCCGGGTATTGTCCTTCTCGCATTTCTCGGAAGCGACTTTGGCAGCTCGACGTTTGTCTGTACCAAAGGTTAGTGGCCTGTCGAAGCTAGCCTTGGACGCAAACTTACCTGCTTCCCGAGATTGTGCCATCATCTTCTTGTACTCCTTCAAATGCCGCTTTTCCTCCAAAGGATCCTTGGGCGGCAGCCAGCTTGGCCGTGTCCGACTCAGCACCTTTTCTTTCTCCTTGCTGATAGGCAACGGGTCAATCATGATATTCGACTTCTGCAACGGTGGCAGCTCAATCGGTGTCTTAGAGCCCTGCTTGGAGTCCGTGCTAGACCTCAAAGAAGACAGCCCGCTCTGCAAAGTCTCTCCACGCCGACGCTCTCGCTCGTCAGCATGAAACTCCAGCGTCTCAGTGATGATCCGCGCCTCTTCCGACAAGTCCGACATCATGTTGTTATACGAGTAGGTTCGGGGATTTCGAGGAGAAATCTGGCCTCGTTCCGGCCCCGCAGAGCTGGACCGTGGCTTGGAGCGAGCCTTCCGTGACGTAGGGGATCGCGAGCCCGATGGGGACTTTGGAAGGGTCACATCTGAGACGGAATGTGACAGAGGCAAGGGCCGGGGTCCCGGGCTGCGGCCGTTTGGACTTGTACTCCGGGAAGGGGCTCGATCTTGCATCGGTCGGGGAGAGATGGGAACGTTCCATAGACTGGCATCTTCGGGCAAGTCATCATCAGAATCGTGATATTCCTCCTCCAGATCCTTGAGCGTTCTGCGAGTGCGCTGCCAGGATGGCTTGCGGTTGAGTGTCCGGGGAGCAGCGGGAGCCAGAGACAAGCTGTGTGTGGAGGGTGAGGATCCTAAGCTCGAAATGGGTCGCAAAGGCGAATTCGATCGCGATCGACGGGGTTTAGACACTTGAAGCGGTGCATGCTTATTCGCAGTCGGATCCCGCTGAGTTCCGGTCTTGGTGTTGTGTCCGCCGCGGCCCGGCTGGGTCAGGGTGCCATTAGTCTGCCCCGTCAATTTACTCGGTTTCGTGGCGGTCAAGTCGCGGGTCGTGACTACAGCGGACTTGGCCTGCATCCTAGCTGGGAAAGTCTGCGTGATAGTGCCCGCCCGACTAAAAGGGACCTTAGTGTCCATATAGGCGATGTGCGCTTCGTCTTGGAGGTCGACTTCTTCGAAGTTGGCAATATCGGTGAAAAGAGCCTCGGGGCCGGAATGTTGGGAGGAAGAACGAAAGGAGGAAGACTTGGAGGATTTGGACCCGGTCAGATCGGGCGGAGAATTTGGAGTCGAGCAGATGGTCGTCATCGCGGACAGTGGTTCGACTTTCAGACGACACGCTCCAGCAGTGAGGAAAACGAACCCGATAATAGACTTCTGAGAAGACGAATGAGGTCGGTGTAAACAAAGAATTGACTGCGCCGGGTTCCGATCGCGCCGCGAGCGTTGACCCAATCAGAGCAAAAAGTGTTTAGATGATGATGCGTTCGACGTCGCAGGGTTGATCTGATATACACGAAGAGTGAAGTCGAAGGGCAGTCGCGCCCGTTGGATCAGGCTGTAATATTCCGGGGGTGGGTCAATTCAAGAAGAGCTGGACAGGGAGATCAGGCGTTAGTTGGCAAGAATGAGCGCATTGGGGGCCGCAACAGCAGGGGAGGGGAGGGATGAGAAAAGGAGACGGGAAAGGTACCAACCATCGACTGTAGGGAGATACCGAATTCCGAGAACGAAGGAATAGACAGAAGGAGAGTGAGTATAGTATGTATGTATGTACTGTACGGGGTGAGTACTGTTCAACGATTGACTTGACTTGACAAGCGAAAGACAGGAATGCAGGGAAACGAAAGGAATAATAGATGAATAGATGGAAGGAGGAAAGAAAGACGAGAGGAAGAAGGAAATAATAATGGGAATAAAGAGTTGGACCAAGCGGGAACAGAAGAAGGAGAAGGGGAAGAGGAGAAGGAAGAACGAATGGATGGAACTACACTAAAGTGACGGGGAAATGATGAACTTGCTGCATCCGGTGATGGAGAGTGGAGGAGAAGGAGAACGGAGGGAGAGAGAGAGGGAGGGAGGGATTGGAGGGAGAGAGTGGATGAGGTGGTAATACACATACATACGGAGGGGGCAGCCTTACTGGGAAAGAGTACGGAATAGTCGTAAGTTAACAGGGCTACACTATTAGGCTGCTCCTACGGAGTACTGCGCGCAGTTGTTCAGTAAGAGAGCACTTAGTACTGTACCAAGTCCGTAAGGATAGTTAGCAGCAGGGTGTACAGTACTGTACTGAATCTGTACTGCACCTCACAAGAGAGAGCCTCAGGCCATCTCAATCCCTCGATTTCCTCTCTATCTACGCCCCAGTGTGCCCCAGGAGGTAAGCCAGGCTGCTGCCACCTGCTAACTAAACTAAACACTAGACTATTAACTCTCTAGCTCAATTGTCGGCAGTGTCCACTGTTATTGTCGACGACGGTCTGGCCAATCCGCTAACACCGCACCAAATGAAGCCCCAGCGATACCATTTCCCACCTCAAAAGCTTCATTGGCTGGCTTCCGGTAAGATGAGTTCCAGGTAATGCCGCCCCTCTCTCTCTCTACTAGTAGTATCTCTTTCATTTTCATTATTTTACCAGAAGATTACCGGCTCTCACAGTTAACTTACAGACAAACGAGATTAGCGTTTTTGGAAGGACGACGAATTCGGGTGATCCAATGAAACATAGTGGTTTCTAAATCTCCAGATTCTGAACCATTGTACTGAGTACGTAGTATCAATAAGTGGTTCGACGTGAGGGCACCTCATGATAAGATGGTCGAAACCGGCCCCCCGCCAGGAGGAGGAGGAAGTGAGGAACTCCCCCGAGGCAAATAATACCATAGTTTAGAGATGCAACGCACCGCCACAGCTGAGACGCGATCGACTGGAAGATCGCTGGGCTGCGGAGAGGTGCTGCTGCTGCTGCTGCTGCTGCTGCTACTCTCCAGACGAACCCGGGGAGGGTAACAGTTGCTCAGGTTTGCTGCCACTTCAGATCGATCCTGAGAACCTTCGGTCCGAAATTTGCCTCCCCCTTTCCTTTTTTTTTTGTTTCTTCTTCTTCCCTCTCTATTTTTTTGGGTCTTGTTTTCTTTGCCTGTAAGTGACCATAAACCCCATCCCTTCTGTTTTTTTTCCTTCCTCTCTTACTTCACCCCTGACCCAGATAATCCTCGTCCCTTTGGTAGAGGTTCCGTGGGTTGTCGGCCTGAGGATTGCCAGGTACCTACCGGCGTACCGGTGGTACTACTGAGTAAGTACGGAGTAGAACGAGCAGCTTTCGGAGGTGGACCGCCACTGACCTCGGTGGAGGGAGGTTTGTGGTACTGTACCTGAATCCTCAGTACTCGAGAGGAATAATTCTCCACTCCCCAAAGCAAAAAGTAGCTCCGACCCGGCTTGGAGCCACAGCCCTAAACCCGTCTTGGGTAGTCCACGCTTGCGGTAGTTACAAATGAGTTGTTAAACGAAAGCAAAACAGAAAATAATTGAAGATTGGTTATTAACTAATAATAATACTCGAGGGCTCGCACCACCACCCACTACGGTTACATCCCACACCCACACCCACCACCACCACCACAACACCACACTTGAACAAGCGGAACTGTCGTCTAGAAGAACGATCATAATAATCAACAATGCAACCTTATTGTGTCTTAGACTTCTGACTGAGTACTTTGGGTCAATCCTTCGCTGCGATCGGATCGGATCTGCTGGGGGGGTGCTCCATATCTCCGTCCACGGACAGCGCACACACACACACACACACACACACACACACACACACATTCAACCAGTCGATCTCAGACATCCATGAGATCTCACACACTCACGGACCGGTCGAGATTGCCGATCAACGGACCACTCTTTTCCTGCTGGCGGATGACCCGGATTTCCTGCTTCCGTCGCTGTAGTAATCGTCGCTGTAGTAATCTTGTCGTCACTAAGTTAGAGCCCTCCTCCCCTCTGAACCGGTTCTCGGACAGCACGAACCATGATCTTAATGTTTATTACATCACCGTTCTTGGTCTGATCCTGTTCACACAAACAAGATCCCAGACTGGGATTATTGATACTAGCCCGTTTCCAGTCAATTTTCGATCCAACCAGCCCACGTTATTTCAGTACCCCAGGTACAAGTACAAGCAAGCTAAGGCAAGGTAAAAACCAAACAAACGGTCGCTCAGCCAAAGCCGGTGCCAAGGAAACGCCTCCCGGGAGTCTATCAGAACTTCCACTTGTCATAGACGGCATTGCCGCGGCGCACCACTAGGGCCAGACGAGCAGCGGTGGCCGTGGATTTGGGACGGGTCTCGCGTAAAATTGCCTGCAGCCAGCGCAGGACACCTACGTACCGCGTCTGCTTGCGCCCAAGAACGGCTTGGAAGGCTGCCGCCGCCAAGTACTCGACCTCGGCCGGTTGCGCAGAACATATCGCGGCCGAGGAGTTGGCCTTCTCTTGTCGACGGCTCAGAATCAAACGGTTGGCAAGATAGACAAGATCACGGATGATCCGAACTACGACCCCTGGTGCAGGATGTGCTCGTCCGGACAGGGAGCGCGTGTACCGGTACAACCGCATGCCCGAGATGACAAAGCTCGCATATAGATTCGCCAGTGCGACCTCGACCGAGTTGTGTTGAGTATCAAGATACATCGGGTGCATGAGCGCCTTGAAAGACGTGAGTAACTTGCGATGCAGTGAGCGGGCTGGAGTTCGCGTCGATTCCACGGTCAAGGAGTTGGCCAGGCTCGCCGCGACCGATTCGCCCCCGTCGAGAATCCGATCGTGGTCCTTGTGTAGTTCTAGAGTGCGGGAGTCAATCAGACTACCGCAGTAAGGAAACAACCTAGTGTCTACGATGCGGGGGATGTGCGCGCCATCCACTTGGACGGAGAAGTTGACCAGACTCTTGGCTGGGTTTACGGAGATCCCATACGCTGGTTGGCCCCGGATCATCACCTGCAGGAAGCGCTTGGCTTGGGCGAGGTCTGACGTAATGAGTAGGAAGTCATCGATCAAGCGAAGAAGCAGAGTATTGTCGGACCGGAGGAATTCCAGCACCTCCCGTTCCATCTCCGCGTAGAAAAGATTACACAGCAGACTGGAGATGACCGAGCCCTGGGGAATACCGTTGCGCTGGCGGAAGAAGCGCTCTCCGAACTTGACCATGTTGTTCCGTACATGCTCTTCAAGAAGGTCAAGTAGATCATCGGAATGCTTCTCCCATTGCCAGAATGTATCCACAAAGACAGTATTCCTTCGTTGGCTCGTGCCTCCTCTGCTGGCTAATTCTTCCAAATGCTGGGGGCTCTTTGTTGGAGCAGCTCTACCCACCCATCTCTTCCAGGCCCGGCTTTGCCGCTGTCCATGAAGCGGCCACATATTGTTAAACTCGTCTGCCGGCTTCATCTCGACGTACTTTGTAAAATGATATGCGTCTGCAGAAACCACTTTGTCGACGAGACGAACCATACTTTGTTGTGGAATAGTGTCAAAGCAAGACTGGATGTCGACTTTGACGAAGTACAGCCGAGGTAAAGACAATGGACCTACAGCCACCGGCTGTCGCGCGAGTAAATCCCTCTTGAACCTCTTCAGCCGAGAATGCAACTCTCCAACCGAATTTAGGCACGAACCTAAATGAGCTGGATTGTGCATCTTCTCGTAGTTCAGCACACTGAGGATGGGACCGACCGTGGAGTTCACAGTGCGTTTCGATGATGGCATCCGTCGTTTGAGATTCACGATGGGACGAATACCAGTGGCTTTTGGTAGAAGGCGTAATGATCCATATCCCAGAGTCCTCTGACCTAGCACCCGTTGGGCTTCTTCCGGCTTCAATTCTTCGAACATAGAAGCCTGCAGTTCATCTATCGGCTGCTCGGTCAAGGTGCGCCAGACCTCGTGTCGGAAATAGAACAACCGGTTTCGGTGGCACTGAGATTCGGTGACATAAAAGGCTGCACGAATCATGGGGATGAGGATGGATTCGAATAAGTAGTACATAAACTCATGAAAGAGTTCCGTGCGCTTCTGCAGGTCGGTGAGCGAAAGCTTATGATGTGATGGATCGGCAAGCTGATCGCGGCCAGCAGCGGGACCGAGCCAGGATATGCAAGATATCTGCAAGCAACAATCGGCCCGTTAGCATGCATGACACGATGTCGATCTTGAGTTTGTGCAAACAAACCTTAACGCCCTTGCACACTTCCTGGAGGGACATGTTTTCGTATCGTCGCATACGGACAAACCTGTCAACGTTCTTGAAAATTACACTTTGGTTGTGAATTCTGTTCTGTCCGGCGCCGAAGAATTGTGGTGGGATTAATTTACGGATAGCGGCTTGACAATAGGCCGAGATGGAAGAGGTCGGGGTCGCATAGTCCGTCAAACTGGGCTTCAATATAGTTGCTGATTTGGTCGCGGGCTCCCTCGCGACAAACGCAGGTCTTTCGATATGATCGTGCTCTTTCTGACCTTCCGAAGTAGAGACACCCCCATTCAATGCATATCTTTCGAGCCCTCGTTCCTGGGTTGTCAGCTTCTCGGACGCCGGGGGGTTCAATTCAGTGCTCGATTGGGAGTCCCGTGGGCCGAGTTTCCATGGACCAATATGCTAGATTCTTAGCCTGTTATATCAATCGTAGGGTCGCTAATTACACCTACCTCGGAAGAACAGTAGTAGTCCAACAAGTATCCGTACGGGCAGCGTTTATGACGATTGAGTAATTGTCGAACCAGCTCCGACGCCTGTCCTTGAAGGCGCTTTGGGATTTTCGCCGGCTGGACTCGTTCATTGTTCGTGATCTGATTCTCAGAGTCTGTGGAAGATCGTTTTCGCTTCTTTGAATTCGCTGCGATCTCATCTTCACGTGATGAAAACTTTGAGTCGTTCTCCGGGTCAGGTTTGAAAACGTTTGTCAGTGCAAACTGCAGGGGGAAAATGTGTTGCATGACGTGCACGGCCTTGGACTGCGAGATGGACGAGGAATAACGGTTGAGAACATCTACACCATTTATGAGTAAATTGATAGCGAGAAAGGACTGGGGACTACTTACGGTTCCCTAGGCCCAATATGGATTTTCCTTTGGTAACAGGCATGGGCGAAGCGTAAAGCATGCGGTGACGATTGAAAGCAATGGCACTCGGCGTCCGCAAGTTCGACTGGCTTTTCGAACAGCAATTTGCCGTCATCTGCCGGCCATCCTTAACCGCCACGGATCCTTTGCCAGTGGTGAAACAATTTGACTCTAAGGATATTTGCTGTGGCTTCGTGTTGATGGGATCAAGTTTCTCAAGAGAATATCCTAGCTCATTTAATCAGTCGTGTATCACCTCCATGTGGCTCGATGAGGAGCACATACCGCAGATCTGGTGGTATATGCCTTTGCGTGAGTCCAAGGCTGTGAAAATCCCACAATCGCACAAGAGATACAGCATAATGACTTCCCCATTATTGCCCAGTAATCCCAAGACCTCCGTCCAAGGGGCACTTTTGAGCTTCTGAACATTTTCATTCGAGAAGTGTGTCTCAGCAACACTTCGGGATCCCCGGGTCAGAAGGTGATGCGGCCTTTTCTTGGACTCGGAGAGAAATGGCTTCCAGATCAATGCTATAGCACGGTCCACAAGCTACAGAATCAAGTCAGCTTTTCTGTGCTCATATTCAGTTAAAGCCCAGCATCATTCACAAGGGAGTAATTCGTATGAGCTAGAACGCAAGCAGATACAGCGCTGTCGGGATGAGAGACGACAAACTCGTGTGAGAGTCATACCTCTGCTTGTGCACATGGCGGACCAGTGTCTGTGCTCGCTAGTTGAGACTTGGGCTGAGATTTGCGCAACGCAGCCAGCTCTTGGCTTCGTTCCTGATCGCGGGCAGGGGATGGGTCTTGCGTAATTCCCACCAAAGTAGAATCAAGGAGAATAGCTAGTTCTCGCTGTGAATCCGAGCACGAGTGATTGGCGCCTTCTTCGAGATTCGTTCCGACCGATGCGATTTTTCGACGACGGGACCGTGAGGCTGATGGTATCTGGCGCAGGAGGAACTGTCTCAATGTGACCACTTCCTGGTAGTAAAGCGATATTACCGGGTGTGTGAGTTTGGTCGCGTGGTCAGAAGAAAAGCCACTTTGATCCCTGAAACCGGTGGAGGCCGCAGTGATGCGAATCTGCGACGAATGGCCTTGCGCATGCTTGCCCTTCACGGGCCTCTTCCTCTTTTTCCCCATGTAAAAGGAGACGAGATCCAATCGCTCCTCAGCTTCACTCGGACGACAGGCAGATCTCCCGGCGCCTTTGCCGGGCGACGAACTATGATGGACGTAGCTGACCCAGTCAACCAATGTAAGTAGATACTTCTTGGCGGAGAAGAGGAAGCGCGCGGATGAGTGACTGGGGACTCGGGACGCGCCAGGACGCGCTACTCCTGGATCGCGTAGAAACCAAGCCAATCAAGAAAGATAAGAGGCACACTGGGCAGGCTGTCTGTCCCAGTTTGAGAAGCAGCATCACCCCATTTCGGGATAACGTCCTTTCGTATACAGGAATAGACAGACAGTCAAGTACGGAGTACCACCTAGTTACTCTAACGAGTAACTTACCATGTTAACGAAACTAAACTAAGGGACTCCGGAAGGCCACACAGCCTTGCGGTCCCTTTTTTTCTCCCCAGTTTGGCGATCAATGGGAGCTAGTCCGTTTTGGGCGATCGAACAGAGATGAGGTGAGGTGGTGTTTTACAGTGAGACAAAAGAAACCCCTCCCCCTCCACTCTTCGACGTAAGCTATTCCCCAATGGAACATGTCTTCGGTGGTTCAATTATTGATGGGCACCCGAGCTGGGGAAGGAAGAAAGTGCATCTGAGCAAAAAGGAGAAGGAAGGGAAGGGGGAACCTTCCGGGCACCTACCGTATTGTTCGAAGCGAGCTCTCCCCCGTCTGGAATGCGGTGCGATCCTGCAGCCTGCGAACTCTATCAGATTTAGGGTGCTGGGGCGATCACCTATTGTCTACATGAACCTTGTTCGGTCTGCGATATGTCCAAATTCTGCTCCGTAAAGTCCTAGCCCAGTGGGTGCCAGGGGCGCAGATCCTTAGAAAAAGACAAGAAGAGGAAAAGAAAAAGGACAGTAAATGATCGAGAATCCCATGTATGGCTCGAAACTGCCGACCCGTCACCTTTAGGGGGCGATGAGAGGCACCGAGGATAATCCTCGGTACACACAACACCGTGTGTCTTGTTGAACAGCTCTTCCGGGAGTGAAGTAAGATCCAGTCACGATGTATTAGACTGGTAATAGAAGGCTTGCTTCAGGCGCCTCGCTAACTAACGGTGACCATAAAAACCTTTTCAAGTGACTGCCGATCTCTGCCCCTACAGGCCCAACCGCGAAATAGTTGCACACGAGAGAGCATACTCGTCATCGGCACTGACTCCTATGGTGAAAGACAGCAGTCAGCAGCAAATGTTGCTGCTATCTGTTTTGCAATGTTGAAATATTGATGTATCTCAACTGGAAGCTGTCTCTTGTAGACAGCATTTGCAGGTGTCTGTCAAAAGGGTTGCGGGATGCAAGAGAGCGACATCCGGCGGGCCGGCGGGTGGCTAGTGATAACTTAACAGTCATTAACTTATTGATTGAACTCCCTTTGTACATGTACTTGCGTACCGGTACTCTGTTTTGAGCTTGAAGATGTTCGGTGCAGACCATCCTTCAAGCTTAGCGAAAGTAGCACCTGTCTGCTGCATGATGATGTTGAGCTGTCTACCTTTTTTTCCCAAAGGATTTACTACGTTTGAATGTGTGGTCAATTGAGGACAGAACCACGGGGGTTCGGTCTTCATCTTATTTTACCGCCGCTTTTGTTTCACTGAGCAGAAGCCACGAGTGACAGGATTACAAGCATGAGGAATTGGACCCTCCCTTGAATGGACCAGGAGATCGAGGCTCCGGAAAGAGATGGGGCTGGTCACCAATAATAATAGTATCACAATGAGGTTGTCGTCCGGCAATCATGACCCCAAATATCGCACGTATAGTAATAATCATAGCCATGGTGCTCGCACGGACAAGGATGGTCGGCTGTGCCAGATCCTTGGAAAGACGGTGGTCTAGAAAGGTCGCCGCGCTAGGCTTTTAGCAGCGGCCTACGTAGCAAGGAAAAACAGATTGCCGCATTGCGTCCCCACAACGTCAGCCTCGCGCTTCAACATGCTCCCCTCAGCAGGTGTTTGGTGTTGATTGAACGAGATTGGCAAAATGCTGGGGGTTTATGGTGTATCTGCCCACTATCTATGTCTGCTTCCTGGGAGGAAAAAGAATGATCACGGCCCTGAGATTCGCCCCGGGAAAGCAAGTACATCTACTCCGTATCTGTGGGACATTTTCTTAACTGCAAGGAAGACAGGCCAACGGACCATCGTCCAAGAGAAGCGGTGTGCATCCGGGGGTATCCTGGGCTGTAGGAGACGGGGATCTCATCATTGTTCTGTCTCTACTCCGTATATCCTCGACGAGCCGAATAGAGGCTGACCAGCCAGTAAGATATTTAACATCGTCACCCGGCGTCATGTTACCCACTCCGAATCACAAATCGTCCATAGGCCGAACATGCTCAAGTGGATCCAGTCAGGTACAGTACGTCAAGCCTGTTCTCCGGACATCCTGGAGGCTGATGAAATTTTCCGGCGAGGACGCTGAGTTGGTGTAGATGCACTCTGCAAATGAAAGTGGCCGTTCTACCATTAGTGAACACCTTAGAAGAGCCTTCTTTGTGTTCCAGTCACAAGCTGTTTGATATATGATACGGCAATCTTTTGGTGGGATGAGTATATGTATAGGGTAAGTAGAACACGAGTGATCTGGTATGCCTCATTGCCTGCAGACTAGCTCGAATTATAGAATCTAGTAGTAGACTGGGGTAGTACGAAGTGAAATTGCTGGTGCCCCGTGTGCCACCTTTCACTTGTCTCGCCTAGACATTTGCTGTGCGACCGTGATAATAACCTACTGGGGCAGTTCTGCTTGCGTTCATGGCAACTGTCGAAATGGACCCATCTCTCCCTTGCGCCGTCTTACTGCCATTTTAAGACGGGCAAAAGTCGCAGCACGAAGCGGTACCGTGTTGGGACGGATGCGAAATAAACTACAGCTTGCGAGGCTCGGAAATAGGAGTCGATCGCCGATGGCATTGTCCTCCTGCTTCGACTGAAAAGAGAAAGTCATAAGAGCCAAGCTCCGGAATCTGGAACCTTTGATGTTATAGTGAAATAGACTATGCAGGGTTATAACGCACAAGGAAAGGAATCGGTGATTTGTATTGCTTGTCAAAGACCTGACAATCCAAGAAACTGGGCGCGGAGATCGCAAGAACCAGATTATACGAGTCATTTGTTCGAATCCTGCAGAAATGGAAGAGAACGAATACCAGGCTAGCTAAGGTATATTACCGCGTCGACTCAGCACAATAAATTAGGACCCTTATCTTCTTTGTACGTCAAGTTGGAGTAAGCTCTCTTGAACGTGACCGGGAAAAGATATATATGCACGAAGATAGATAGACGTATGGACGAGATGGTTTTCGCACATACCTCAAGTATGCCAATCTTGAGGAGTTTTGGTCGAGGCAGATCGATAGTAGTTCATCCAGCCCTTTGAAGAATAGGCGCCACAGCGAACAAAGCTCAGCGGGGAAAGTGTTCCATGGAACGCCCGAAGGGACGACGAGTCCCGATCCGACTAACACCACTAACGGTTGTGTCTCCAATGGAAGGGAATAGAGTTCATGTACCGACTTCTTTATGGCTTCCATGCTCGCTTCCAGCCATAGCAGATCAATCGATTTCTGTCTCGTCTACTAAACTAACTGCGGAATCCTCTCCAACACTATCCTATCATCTTCCGGTGGTCAGGCAGAAACCAGCCTACCTATGAAATCGAAGTGCGCACGGAGATTCCGCCACTGGACCCGTGGAGGTGTTCGCAAATCGACTCATCGAATCTTCTTCTCTCGTCGGCCACACGTTGCCCCTTCAATCTGGAATGAACCTCTGCAGGGCGAGACACCTGGAGAGGATGTGTATTATGACTCTAGTTACAGAATTTTGAAGGCTGAGCTGAAGGCTGAGCAGACAGGCGAGGTAGGGATTAGTACAGTAGTTACATACCTGACTAGTACTGATTAACTCAGTACGGAGTAGATAGGTAGATTACCTATAGTACCTAGTTACTAGCCTCTTAGATAGCCTCACGGTTCTTGCTCTCTCATCCAGGCCTTCCATCTGGCCTTGTCTGTGGATTTCTTTTTGTCTTCAAACTCTGGCGGTTTAGGATGTCAAGAGAAAGTCTCTTTTTTAGGGCCCTCGGTCGGGTTAACATTGTTATTATCATACAATTTCTATATTGGTTTTCTTCGACTAGTTCTAGAATGGGGGGTGTGGGCAGGGGGAGGGGTTCCTTTTTTTTTTTTTTTTTTGTCTTTTTTTTCCCTTTACCCCCTCTGCCCTCTGCACACCCGTCACCCTTTCGTCTCAGAGTTCTGGTCAATTCCTTGGGTGGATTCCCCTCGCTTTTTACTCCTGATTATCCACCTTCTCCGCACCCACTTTCAAACCCAAGGTCGATTCTTGCCGTCACTAGTAAGTTACTAGGTAGTCGCTCCTCAGTACCAAAAAAAATTACCGACGCATCAAGTAATCTGTAATTCTTCCAGTCCCCTTACCCTACCAAAATCAAAGAAGAAATTCTGGAAACAGAAATAAAGGAAATAAAAGGAAAAGGAAAAAGAAAAACAAATGTTAGAGGGGACACACGCACACACATACACCACACACACACACACACACACACCCTTCCAATCCATCAAACGGGGCATCTGAAAGTAGTCGGCCCACCTGCAGCCCTTCCCAATCGATAGGAAGCAACCCGACACTGGACTGACTGGATACACTGGGTCTGGGCTTTTCCTATCGATTACTTGATGGGTACTCCGTACCGTTTGGTTGCTGTTCGTCATCCATCCATGAATGAAATGAATCAATGAATGGTTTGTTTCTGCTCTTTTTTATTTGACTACGGTCTTACCCTGCCCTGCCACTTTGACCTCAACAAACCCCTCCCCTCTCGGCCCGCTTGTTACGTCTTCCCACACCCTCTTCTTTCTCTTGCTTCCGTCAACCATCACCCACATTACCACAAACCTACCTCCTCTACACCTCTACATCCCCTCA